TTAGGATGTTTTTGGGTTTGACTCAGGGCTTCACTTCTTTAGGGTCTGGTTTGGTTTTGCTTAGGGCTTCGCTCCTTTAGGGTTTCTTTTGGCTTGGCTTAGGGCCTTGCTTCTTTAGGAAGTCTTTGGGTTGGACTTAGGCCTTCACCACTCCCCAAAAAAAACTTCCCAAAAACCACTCCCCAGAAGCCACTTCCCAGAAACTGATCCCCAGAAACCACTTCCCAGAAACTACAAACTTCCCACAAACCAGTCGCCAGAAACCACTTCCCAGAAACCACTCTTCAGAAACCACTTCCCAGAAACCACTCACCAGAAACCTGAATTCGCGTTCCAGAACGAGGCGGACGCCCTTGAGAACTGGGTTCTTCAAACTCTCTCTCTGGGGGGAACCAAACATCAACCTGAGACCAAAGCTCACTCCCTTCCCCACGCATCCCCACGCATCCCCACGCCTGACGGCCCCTGGACTCAATGGTCTTGGTGTTGAAGGCTGCACCAACGGTGGTTTCCTACACGTCCCAGCCAGTGTTGCCGCAGCAAAAGGGGGCATTGAAACGTTCTGCCAATGTCATGCCATGCATCATACCCCCAAATAGTCCTAAAGATCCACAGTTTCTTTTTGTCTGCTTTTGCTTGCTTGATTTGCTTCATTCCATTGAATTTCACAATTCCAACACATTCTAGTCCGACACACGCACGCACTCACTCTTACCAGAAAGGTCTCCAACACACCTACACACACGTACTGCAACGAAAAAAAAAAACTATAACCATGCAAAACCGCACTCTGGCCGAGTAGCGATTTCTTCTGAGAACTTGTTGTGCAAGAACCTCATCAGGATGCTCGACTTCCCCACCGAGGCATCCCCCAGCAGCACCAGCTTGAAGCCTTTGCGTGGCATCCGCGGTGCACCGGCGGAACTCGCCGCATCGCCATAGGACATGGGCGGAACGCGCCCCGCCGCGAGAAAAAAGAAAACAAAAACGGGCCCAGTGCGACGGGATGCGTGCTGGAAGCTGCGTGACAGGTGTGTTTTCAGAATGTTCATGATAGGCGTGTCGAAAACAAACGCCAACGGTCACCACCTGCGAGTGATGGAAGCTGCAACCGATATAGGATACAGGTGAATGTGCTGAGCATGGACTGTCTCCTTCGAAGCTTTCGAAAATTCGTTCAGTAAGCAGTGTTCGAGCCGGGGGTTGCAGGAAATTCAAGGATATTGGACTGCTGCTCTGGATTCATGTGCCACAAGCTTGCTCCTCTTGTCATGTGCAAACCGAGGCCTCAACATCACCCCTATCAATCTTGTGGTGCATAGCAGCAAGAAGCTCCTGCAGCATGGTGCCACTTTGTGAAGGTTCCCTCTGAAGCTTTCATTTTCGTCTGACACTTTCCCCACTTCAGCAAGTGTCTTCTACTTGCTCTTTGGCATTCTCCACCTCTCGGTGACTTTCGGTGTTCCACTAATATGGTTCAATCACAATGTTTTTTATTTGTTGGCTGTCCAATAGCCAAAGGCAAATAAAGATAAATGAAGGAGGCCAGGCTATGGCTTCGGTTGGTTTCATTGCTCCTTAGAGCCAGTACGACTCTTCTAGGCTGCTATCAGCGACAGTAGAGAATATTCAAAGAACGCTTTAGCCAGTAAAAAAAAGCCCTGCGAAACAAGCGCGCCGGTGAAACATTCCACAGGTTCAAACCGATATTCGCGAAAAGGAGGAAGGAAGGAAGGAAGGAAGGAAGGAAGGAAGGAAGGAAGGAAGGAGAAAACAAAAAACCTCTCTTCTCTTCAAATTCTTTCTCCGATGAACTTGCGAAGACTTCCTGAAACGAAGACTTTCCTGGATCGCCTAAAAACACCCAGGGTGTCGCCTCCAAATTGCTCCGTGCAGCCCCAGGTTTCAAGAGTTTCAAGAAGCGGACCTGCCACGTGCAGATCTGCGGACCGTGTTGCATGTCATGTGTGCGGCGGAGCTTCACATCTTGAAGGAAATCAGACATCCCCCCCAAGCCTCGATGCACGGACCCTTCGTGTCAGACGGAATTCTAAGGCTCAAACGGTCAGATCCGTAGCATCCGTGGTCAGAGACTCGAACTTCTTAGGAATGATGGACCTTGGAAGCGTCGTATTACTGGGAATGCAGACTCCCAAAGTACAGATGCTCAATCTTGGGTGGTCAAATTCCTGTTCATAAAATTTCAGAGACATCCTTAATAACTCTTTCAGAACATTTCATAACATGTTAAATGAGGATCTCTTTGGTGGGTGTAGTTTTCCACCACGACATCTATCTGGTTGAACAAACGAAAGGAATGAGATGGCTCCAATTGACACCCACTGCGCGGAGCACGTTGTCTCCAAGGAGGAGCTTGGAGCTTTAGCGCTGACTTATGAAGTCTCTGGTCGTCTTGTGGGACGATGTGTGGAAAGCACGGACCTTGACACATGAAACATCATGAAACACTGCACGAACGGTTTCAAAAAGGTGTGCACGTGTTTTGTTCAAAACCACCGAAAGAACGGAAGGCCGTTCTTCGTGCCGCAGTCCTCACAGGCCGTGACCCGATTGCCCTGCCGCGTCGTGCGAGTGCCGGTGACTCCATCGTCCAAGCTGCCAGTCTCTCACGAAGGAGCCCAAGGCTTTCACGCCACGAGGGGCACCAGCACCTGAAGCACCACTCGCCTACTAGGCCCCGGCCCGTTGGGCCTTCTTCATTTTCGCCTGTCGGAAGAGGTCTTACCAATTCAACTGGGGGAGGTCATTGATCAACAGCACCCCATTTGGATTGGAAAAACCATCCGAATGTTGTGTCATGAATCAAAGAGTCTACACATGTCTACACTTCGTGAAGTCCAACGTAGTCCAAACCATTCAAACCACAATGGTGGCAAAAGCAACTGTAACTGAGATGGCGACGAATCCACTCGACAAAAAGTGAATGCATCATGATGGGCTCGGAAAAAGTCCTGTGGCAAAGGATATGCCGATCACAACCCCCTATGAAATTGGTGAGCACGAAACAACCTATGCAATTTCTAGTAATTAGGTGGTTGATCTTAGGAGTGCAGCCCTTCCCCAATCACCTACAAATATCTACAAATGTTGTGTTCAAGAACAAAACGAAGGTTGAAAACCGTATTGATACTGTTGATGGACAAAATCCTGCACCACTTTGCGCACACTTTTCTTGCTGCCCTCGTCCTCCCTCGTTAACATTGGGGCCACCACAATGAGAAACAAAAACAAGTTGACGGTCCAAAATCCTGCGCCACCTCCTCAGAGGGGTCGCGCCAACATTGAATGAGGGGGCACGGGGGTTGCTATGCGACCCTTCCACGAACTCGAACCATCAGCTGTTTCTTCGTGCCGAGTTCTCGATCGGACGCGAGTGACGCCGAGCTCTCGGACGGTGAATGGCGTGACGACTGGCCGTCCCAGTCCCGTGATCGCACCAGCGGCGCGCGGCAAAAGAGCGGTCTAACTTCTGCACATATTCTCTTTGGTCCTGCGGGTGAACCGGGACACGGGCCGCACCATTCGGCACTGGGTAGAGATCACAAAGGACAAGTTGTGCCATGCATACGAATACAGGAGCATGATTCTTAGGGTGTGTGGCCATGTCAATGGATTCATTTGAATTTGGCTATGCGACAACTGGTGAGACCCGGTGTTCCACTCATGCTACTATGCTGAGCTGCAGATCATAAATCCTCATGCAAAATGGATTTATATAGTTATATATATATATACCTCTACGCCTGGCTGGACCTCTGCCTGTTGCGTGATCTTTCCAAACTTGCCAGGAAACAACATGAAACATCATGAAACAACGAATGAATCAGCACATTGGTCCTTCAACACCAAAAGAGATGGTGCACTGAAAGGATCTGGCGCAGTGAGGCCTGCTGCCATTGCCAATGCCTTAGTCCGCAAGCTCCTTCATCTTATCTCAACATGGTCATATTGTTCGTTCATCCTTCTGTCATAACGGTCTCCTCCAAATTACAAAAACGGACTCTAAGATTGCTTAGTAAAGCTCCCAAGAATGATCACTCCAAGCATGTGGTCTTGGAGGGACTGCTTCTATCAGGTCAGGGGAACCGCCGCGTTTTGGCGACCAGTTTCGTGGCTTCGTCCCGAGTTCCCGCACATCAGCAGGGCCTCGGATTCGTGTCCGAAAGCAGGGCCTCTTCGTGTCCAGTTTTCACGTGACTTGATAAGCTGTTGGCATGTGACACATCCGCTGTCCCCAGACACTGAGCTACCAGACATCTGAAAAGGCATCCAAGGAAAAGCAACCGGCAAATGCGAAGATCACAGGGCAAAGCCTGAGAATCAGTGGCAGCCCCTTCCAGTCAGTGGTCAGCGCCGCTTCTGACTCTACCACTCTACCAGCGGTTGGAAGGCCGAACCGAGTGAGGAAAACCACCTGCGATGGCGATCCCGAGGCCGCGGCGATGGCGATTTGTCCCAAGGGCGTGATGTCCGCATCCTCTTCCGCTGTGGTCAGGCAGCCAACGGCGGCGAGTTCCCAAATGGCAGCCTGCAGGAGACACATCTCAGATGAGATTGCTCCGTCAGAAATGATGTCCTCATAGTAACCAAGAAAACGTGATGTGGTGGAAAAAAAATAGACCTATGCCGCAGTGGATCTCCACTAATGCCTACCTCTGAGCCAATACCACCGTGGAAGACCGAGAATCGTCGACTGGTCCGTTGTTCTTCCGTCGAAGGAGCTGCCCATGGGCTTGGCATGACGCACTCACGTGGGCAATCACCGCGTGTTTGCAAGTGTCTGGAAGGGGATGTGATCAAGACATCTTCTGGAAGGCGAAATCAAGTGAATGAGTTGGGTCTATCCTATTACCAGTAACAGTGGATGATGATGGTTAGTAAAGGTCGCGGTCTTTACTTTCTCTAAAATAGTGATATATGCTCACTGACTGTTACAGGCAATAGGAAAGACCCAACCAATGAGTGTCAGACTTTCAGGTACCATTCTACGTCCACCCGATTTGTTCGTCAATCACATGATCTTGTTCGAAAGAAAATCGCTCAAAAAAACTGCATCCAAGCAACGTCCAACAATTCCAGCGACGGAGGTTGCACCACCTGCGGGTTAGATATGGTCAAACCCTCATGGCAGAAGATGGTCAAAAATGGTCAGTGCGTGTCTCCCCAAAGTCCCCAAATCAGCTTGGATCCCTCAACACTGTTCCTAAAGACATTGGTGACCACTGCACCCTGCCCTGCTCTTCCTGCATATCGTGCATGTGGTCTTTCAACACATCCTGCCTCTTGCAGAAGCGCCTTGGGCGCACTAACATCCATGTGCACTTCCGGCCTAGAAGACAAGCGAGCTGCTGAATAAAGAGCGACCGTGCAGACTTGATCCACAGAGACAAGCGAGCTGCTGTCCCATGGATCTTGGGAGAAAAGTGAAACTGGCCTTACTACTAGGAGCAAGAAGCTACTCGGGGCTCCTGGCATCGCTACTGGAAGCAAGGACGCTACTAGGGGCTCGTGGCCTTACTACTAGGAGCAAGGACGCTACTAGGAAGGTGCACGGCTGGATTGGCATCAAACGGCCCACGGATCGAGTGCAAGGTCGCGGCGGTAGATGCACTCGATCCGCCACTCGAGTGAGGGTGGAGCATAGTTGCTTTGCCTCACGGTCATTGAAGAGTTGCGCCGGCCAATCAAAAGCGATTGGAAGAAAGACCACCTGGAGTCTTGCAGCTTTACCGATGGTGCAAAAGGATTTCTTGCTTGCGAGGAGTCAAAACACTACATCAGCTACCCTTCATGGAACTTCCTGTTCTCACATGACCAGCCACCTGCAAGTAGAGCTTGGTCAGCGGTGCATTCAGCATCTCCGGGGGGTCAAACAGCGGCCTGGCCCGTCGCCGTCGCTGACTTCGGGACCGGAACGTTCAGCCTCATTCAATTGACTCGTAGATAGAACTGCCGTCTGGAACGACGAGGCTTTGCCTCTGTGCCATCTCCCAAACGTTCGTGCTGAAGATGTGTGCTGAGTCTTCTGTGGAGTCCAGGAGTCGTGTGCTCGAAAAACATCATGTCAGCATCACAGCTGCTTCTCAAAGAAGCGCCGCGGTACCAAGCAAACGGCACGCCCCGGCATCGTGCGGCCTCCGGTTTGCCCAACTGCTTAGCCAAGTCATGCAATCCCATGCATGCATGAAGTGATGGAGAACTCGATCGGAGCAGGGGTCTATGATGGTCTATGGGATACCTGAAACATAAGAAGTTCATCAACAACGGGCTGTGTTTGAAAAGATCCCCCCAACCAAGTTGCCCCTCGGTTCCAGCCGGGGACTCATGACTTGTGCATGATTGAGTCAGACTACCAGCCTGCTCGGCCTCTTCTCTGCTTGCCTGAGAACAGGTTGGAAAAATGTCGAAGGCACCTCTTCACAGTTTATACTGTAGCATGCTGTGATTCTTGCAGGGACACTGCAAGGGACACAGCGAGAAAGAATAGAATAGAATTCCTGCAAGCCTTGTGAAGAAGCACAAAGTAATCAACGCAGCAAAGTTCAGCGGCAAAGCCGGCAAGACTATCAGTCGATCAATCTCTTGTGGCCAACGATACCTGCAGATTATAGATATGTGCATTGTATATATAATATAATATGTACATATAATTACATATCAGATATACAATTATGTACATATACACTCAGGAAGATTAACATGGAACCTGAAAAAGGACCATCGGAGGATTAGCTTCCTCCACAAACCAGTGGTTTTCAGGTTCCAGGTTAATCTCCCAGGGCATAGCGTTTATTATTGGGGTCGCAGAAAAATGGATTGGGCAGATCATCGGGCAAGGGGCAAGGGTCCATGTCCGCAACGAGATGAAATATATGTACATATATACAGTATATTACAGTATATAATATATATATATGATATGCATAAAGCGTTGTTAGAGGATGGCATCTGATTCTTGATTAGTTTGATCCTACGTCACTTTATGTGTTTCATCGTTCCTTTGCCACCCAGCTGGTCCCACAATTCTGGCTTCGGCTTGGTCACCCCACAGGAGCTTTGAGAGCACCACGTGGTCACTAGACAGCACATCAGCCGACGAGTGTCGTACCTGCCCCAAAGAGCGGTGGACGAAACATGCCCAGAAACGTCCACGATCCCCGATCGCTTTGACGTTCCACATCCGAACAAAGCCCTCAGACGCGCTCTCTGAGCATCCCACTGTACCGAACGGCGCAGTGCTAAGTCGACAACAGCACAGACATTCGGCCTCGAAGATGTGGGTGTGTCGGTTTCAGTGTTTCGGTGTGCAGCGTTTCGGTGTCCTGAGTGTTTCGGAGTTCCACTTCTTCCATTGTCGATTCTCTTCTTTTTTCCTCATGTTTGCCATGTGCATTCCAAAACGATCAACAAGCGCATCAAAGTGGCAATGTGAGGGAGCTCTCGGCAATGTTGCTGGCCAAAACGATGTGGCTACAATCCTTGAAAAATCACAGAAAACGTGATGCAAAAACATGCATGTGGGGAACTGAGAAATAATGATTTATTGGAAATTGGAAGCCACGGAAAAGATTCATACAGTGCCAGGCTCCTAGTATCTCGTGCATGCATGATGATGGGGAGCAGGATCCGTGTCCCTTAATCAAGAAAAATGCGGACAATGCCAGTGTCACTTGCATGAAGGGAATGAGAGATGTTTGTTCTGAACAGGTGCAGCGCCTTGGTCGACAATGAGAATGTGCAAAAATCAGACTAGAGTTCCTGGTCCCGATGCTACTGACATTCCGGATAATGTAAGGGCCAGGGTAGGGCCTGTAGTTGCGCTTCTGCCCAAAAGATGCATGTACAAAGCACACTGCTGATTACTGATCGCACAACTGCGTGCATGAATCAAAGTGGCACCGCATAGCCCTTGAACTGATGATCTTCAGCCAAAGGTCTCCATACAAAGCTCTTGCATTCTAGACACAAGTTCTCCCTTGGCGGCGGGAAAAAAAATGAAGGATATGTCACCACTCACCACCCAGTCCAGCCTCAGGCACTTCATTAAAGACTTCCTCCTGCTCCTGTCGAGGGATCATGGAGTGCAGCGCAAAAATCCGCAGCCTGGCCACCGGGAGCATCACTCACCGTGCGACCGTGCGACCGTTCGGTGGGGACGCTGCGATGAAGAGCTGCTTTTTAGGTGCAAAAAGGCCACATGGCAATTCTATGCAATTCTTCACTGCAGCACTTCCTGCCAATTGGTGTCCCTTCGCATCGACAAGAACTCTGAAACCTCTGAAGCCTCCGTGCCTGGGGCAATCCGCACGCTTGATCACACCAGCGCGAGTCAGCTCACGCGCGTCGTCCAAGGGAGCCAAGTTCTGCGGACGTCGCCCCGAGCCCCGACCCGACGAGCGATCCTAGTAACGATGCACTCGTTTCTACTAGCTTCTTGTTACTACTAGTAAGGCACCTGTTACTACTAGCGTGGCACTTGTTACTAGAAGCGCGGGAACGGGAGGTCCGGTCAGGCCGTTTCACATCGGCCACGTTCAACGAGTTCCACGGCCGATCGTCCTCAGTCCTCCGTGGAAACCTCACCGTGGTGTTTTTTCATGTGTTTTCCATCCAGTCTGACCAGCACCATTTGGGGAAGCGTTTGTTGCTTCCTTTCCAGCCTCAAAGAGCGTCGTGATGTCAGCAATTCCAGGTAAAAACACAATCACCTGAGTGGGGCCAAAACATTGACAGCTCATGATCTTCTGATGTCTCACCTGGGCGAACTGTCCAACAGCTGAGCTGTTGGTTCAACGTCCTTCGAGACGATGTTTTCGTGTGTGTGTGTGTGTTGATTTGGGTGCAATAGAATTGTTGTGTTACCATGGTGCAGACTTACAACAGCGACCTAAACTATAACAAATATGTCATAACTAATGTGCTGCTCAGTCCAGGCAATTCGCCGCTGGCAGCTCAATTGAAAAGGATGAGCAACAATAAGCTTGGCTGTCATGCCATCTTTTGTGGAGAAACATCTGACTGCAACTGGAGCTGATCTGACACACTTGGGTGTGCAGTCAGAACATGCTTAGAGTTGTCAACGAGGTGATTGTTGCAGTTGTCAATTGAGATCAATTGAGCATATAGAAGAGTTGGATGAAATGAGTACATGATAGTACATGGGCTGCACAAAGAAGGCGGCCACCAACCAAGATGGTTTTGTGCATCCTTCCTGCGAGCGGTGTTAGGGGATCCACGCAGTTGAGACACCTCATCCACGTGCATCATAAATCCTATTCACCTTGGCACCCCAGCTGTACATCCTGGCTTTGCGAGCTGCTGCACAAGGCTGCAGGTCACCTGCAACTATGGTGGCCATATGTGTTTGTGGTTCTGCCAAATATCGTGGTATCTGATCATCTTGGAGCTTGTGCGTTCAGAGGTGTTTTTAACTATGGATATTATCCTTTTGTACCTGCAACAGTGGATGATTCAGTGGATGATGATGGTGAGTAAAGGCCTTGTCCAAGCATAGTGATCAGGTAATTTAATAGGACAGACCCAAATTATCTAAATGAAGTATAGTTAAGTATTAATTTCATGAGTAGCACCCAGGCAGGCCCCGCCTCCATCAGACCATCTGAGATCTGCGGCTCCACCTAGTGGTCTGCAAGGGATGGCGATCCAAATGCGAACAAAAATGGGGGCAACTGGAGAAAAGGATGTAAATTCAAAGGGGCCCAAAGTGGCCCAAGTTTTGCAATTGAAATATCGCGTCTTCTCTGGTCTTCCTCCTTCGTGTCCTTTCATCCGCTCTTCACTCCTCCTTCCGTCGATCCCAACAGCCTGCTGTCTTTGGTTAACGGAAGTCGCCCCGAAGCCTTCAAATATATCCAGCCCTTTCTGTGTCTCGGCACATGCATGGCATGATTTCTCCCTGGTTGAACATTGACACTCTTCCATCCTCATAAACATACCTTGCTCCTCATCCTCGCCATGGGTACTCTCGCTGCATCTCTGGGCAGCTCAGCGCTTCATGAGCTTCGTGATGCTTCATCCGTCAGTCTCTCGCCATCACAAGGCGAGAAGTGCCAGATCCCCCAAGTAAGGACGACCCAAACGAAACAGCTAAGACCTAAGACATCGCATTTTATCGCATTGTTTTGTTGAGAACCCTGAGAATTTAAGCTCTCCAGAAGTTGAAATATTGTACCGTGTAAACTTCTGACTGAAACGTTTGTTGTCTCGAGATGTTCGCCAAGTCACCTGAAAAACCCACCCAGTCCGAGATGTGGACGACCCAATGGCCGAAACGAGGACCGTTTGACCTCCGGGGGCCCAAGCGCGCTTGAAGCCGGTGTCGTCACCTGCACCGGCGCGTGACGACGGGTCGTCTTCCGGTGACGACGTGGCCGACGGTCGTCCTCGGTCGGTGTCGGACGGTCGTCCTCGGTGCCGCTCAGCGTGCGCGGAGCGATGTTTGCCATGCACTCCTGAATGCTTTCGGAATACCAAGGAGGTGCCAAGGAGGTGCCATGTTTGGTCACGCACTCGTGCCCAGTGAATTCCTGCTCCCAAATCCCCGCGCACCTCCTTTGCTCTTGCCCTTGCCTGGTCTCCCATTGTTGGATCGTGCAGCTCAAATCAGTTGCTAAAATAAAGTAGTGTTTCTTTAGCAAGAGCTGTACTGTACTATGCACAATGCTGCAACAAACCACAATATCTGATAGGTCCTATGATGGCTTGCTTCGCCAAACTCAGATCCATCTAAGAGCAAAGGCTATAGAATGCATTTTAGAATCTTGCAACTGAGTCCGCTGGCCTTTCCCTTTGGAGAGGCTGCGAAACGCCTTGCATTCAGCTGGAGAGGAGCGAAGTGCGACGGTTGAACAACCACAACGACCACCACAGCAGCAGCAGCAGCAGCAGCAAGAAGACGACCACCAGAAGAAGAAAAAGAAGAAGAAGCAACAGCAACTAACAGCATTCTCCCGCTCCAACTTTCTACCACTACCACTACGACCGCAAATATATGCACGCAGACCAAACCTGATAACACCTTATACTAGTAACAAGTGCCACGCTAGTAGTAACATGTGCCACGCTAGTAGTAACAGGTGCCTTACTAGTAGTAACAGGTGCCTTACTAGTAGTAACAAGAAGCTATTAATTTAAGGGACGACCTTGTCAAAGAGACCCTCTCTTTCGCCTCGAGAGCATTGTCCAGGCTGCGTCGATCTCGTGACTCGGCAAAGTCAAACCTTTGTCGGACGGTCACTGATGTTAAATGGGTGTGTATTGAAATATGAAGACCTCTCCCAGTTTGACCCCGGACCCCCTGGAAGAAAACCCATTGTTTGGGGGGTCTCTCAATAGATACACACACACACAAATCACGAAATAGAATGAAATCCGCCGACCCCGGCCTATAGCCAAAGCCTAGGCGGGGAGGCGCCTGGGACACCGCAGGGTGAAGCAGTTGGCCAAGCCTAGCAGAACCCTTCCAAGCACTTCCAAAGGCCTGTCCGAGGCCTCGCCAGCTGGCAGGCCTGCTGCGGCCTCTCTGTGGCCTGTCCAAGGCCTGCCTCCTCTCTCGGCAGCTGGCAGGCCTGTTGCGGCCTCTCTGTGGCCTGTCCGAAGCCTGCCTCCTCTCTTCTTATGGGCTTCCGAAGGCGACGTTAGGCATTTTGGACCGCCTTCAAACGCTCCTCGGCAGCTGGCAGGCCTGTTGCGGCCTCTCTGTGGCCTGTCCGAAGCCTGCCTCCTCTCTTCTTATGGGCTTCCGA